AGAAGAATCAGTGGAGCATGTGGTTATGAGGTGTCGGGGTTACAGCGTCTGTAGGGAAGTCCTGAAAGAGCGTTTAAAGGCGCTAGGAATGAGACAACTCTAGAGAAAGGCAGTAGGGCACAAGTAGGAGTGTTGTTGGCATTTTTAATGGAAACTGGAGTGTATGAGAGGATAGGTTATGTTAGAAGCATAGGGTGTTAGGTGTATTTATTTTTATTTATTTTTATTTATTTTTATTTTATTATTAGCAGTATTATTCCCCCTCCCATGTTGGGACCATAGACTCACAGTCTATGGTTTGGGTTTTAGATTGTGAGCCTATTGTCTGACCCACTCACTAACAGAAGGTGGCGGTAATGCTCCACTAGTTGGCTGCCAACCGCTGTAAAAACCCAAAGAAGAAGAAGATGGGAGCTCGTCCACTGCACAGAACCGCTAGCTCTCACATGTGACTACATAAACTACTTTACAAACTCAAAACATGTATTCAAAAGGCTCTGAGTTATACATTTGGATTGGTAGCAACATAAATAACATTTTAATTTGGATATTCAAAGTTTTTTAATTATTCAAACCAAAATCATGACTAGTGAAAAACGTGACCCCACCTCCTCAGACGCTAGGCGCCGGGCGCAGTGAACCAAACACCTGTCTCTTAAAGTGACAGTACAGGATTATGAGCAACTCTACTAGTGACCTAAAAAAATGGGCTAAAACGTGCCATAAACATTAAGATGAAAATAAAACAGGATTTGGTGAAGCTCAAAATATAAAAAAGTATATTTTCCAATGGTTACACAAACAAAACATTGACACAGGTCTGTTCCTCCGATGTTAACTCCTTGTGTCGTTGCTTTTGTCGTTCTTCTTGGTTCTCTTCTTCCCATTCCTCAAAGGTTTTTTAATGTCCAAAAATGTTAAAGTTCACCTCAAAATCTGGCACTATTAGTTGCTACGGCTCATCTCCTAACTGATAGTTTATTTGATCCAGCTGTTACAGTTACTATGGCAACGACTGCGGTGGAGTGATATGGAGCATGGTTTTAAACTTACCGGGAAACTTGTGCTGAGGAGTGGGATCACACTCCTCAGCCTCCCCAGTAAGGTCTACTCCAAGGTACTGGAGAGGAGAGTTCGACCGATGGTTGAATCTCGGATTCAGGAGGAGCAGTGTGGTTTTGGTCCCGGCCGCGGACACTGGACCAGCTCTATACACAATACAATACAATGTATTCTTGTATAGCCCTAGGTCACAACAGAAGTCATCTCAGGATTTAACAAAACCATTGAAATCACCAACACAGGTCAGAGAATCAACAGTTAAAACACATGAAGAATATAAAGCACACACAGAAGAAAATGTCCATACATGTTGTAGAATGCTAAAGTGTCCTGATCATCACCAATCCTTTCTGTTGGACACTAACTGTCCAACAAGACCCTCCTGCATCCACAAGGAAAAACTCTTAAAAAACCCAGTGGGAAAAAGTGAGAAACCTTGGGGAGAACTAGGGAAACCCACAGGGAGGGAGACCCATATGAGAAAGGGATCCGCTCCTCCGGACGGACAGGCTAATGATCTAGGACCTAAGCTAGCTACAGGACGTGGACCAGTGGCCGCTGAACGTGGACAGGTCCGGTGCAGGACCAAAGCACTCCCAGGCGGGTCGGGCGGGGCAGTCCGCAGGTGTAGATGGAAGAGGCCAGGCTCAGAGATCCCGTCATCGTACCATGAAACAGACAATGGGACAACGGGTGAATAGCAATGAACAAACTACAGTCCTAATAATTCTAAACAGATAAAGCTCTACACTCTCCATCAGATACTTGAGGGTTCATGGGAGTTCGCCCAACCTGTCCACATGTGCTTTGTGGATTTGGAGAAGGCGTTCGACAGTGTTCCCCGGGGTGTCCTTTGGGGGGTCCTCCGGGAGTACGGGGTCCGAGGTCCTCTGCTGAGGGCCATCCGATCCCTGTATGACCGGAGCCAGAGCTGTGTTCGCATTGCCGGCAGTAAGTCAGACCTGTTCCCGGTGCATGTTGGCCTCCGCCAAGGCTGCCCTTTGTCACCGGTTCTGTTCACTGTGTTTATGGACAGAATTTCTAGGCGCAGCCAGGGGCCGGAGGGGGTCCGGTTCGGAGACCACAGGATTTCATCTCTGCTGTTGTCATGTGGAGAGGTGATGGAGGACTCAAAATGCAGGAATGCCAAAAAATAATTATTTAATGATAACAAAATAAAAGTCCAGGTTAAAACTCAAAAATCCAAAAACACAAGCAACCAGGAACAGGGCAGAACAAAACAGACAAAGACATGAACAACACAATGGACCAGCAACATGTGGAGAGGAGCACAGGGTACATACAGACACAGACTCAGGTGAAACACATCAGGGCGGGGCAGACAATCAAGACAGGGGAAACAGCACACAAAGTCAAAATCTAAACCACAGAGAAACAATGTCAAAATAAAACCAACCGGAAAAAACCACCTTTTTGCTAGACCGGAAAAAGGTGCCTTGCCCTCTCCAGGTCCTGGTCCTCTCCAGGAGCAGAGGTCCTTCCTCATGTGGAGGAGTTCAAGGAGTATCTCGGGGTCATGTTCACGAGTGAGGGAAGGATGGAGCGTGAGATTGACAGGCGGATCGGTGCAGCGTGCGCAGTGATGCGGTCGCTGTATCGGACCGTTGTGGTAAAGAGGGAGCAGAGCCGAAAGGCAAAGCTCTCGATGTATCGGACCGTTGTGGTAAAGAGGGAGCAGAGCCGAAAGGCAAAGCTCTCGATTTACCGGTCAATCTTCGTTCCCTCCCTCACCTATGGTCATGAGCTTTGGGTAATGATCGAAAGAACGAGATCGCGGATACAAGCGTCGAAATGAGCTTCCTCCGCAGAGTGGCTGCTCCCTTAGAGATAGGGTGAGGAGCTCAGTCACAAGGGAGGAGCTCGGAGTAGAGCCGCTACTCCTTCACGTCGAGAGGAACCAGTTGAGGTGGCTCGGGCATCTGTTCAGGATGCCTCCTGCACGCCTCCCTGGGGAGGTGTTCCGGGCACGTCCCACCGGGAGGAGGCCCCGAGGAAGACCTAGGACACTATGTCTCTCAGCTGGCCTGGGAACGCCTTGGGGTCCCCCCGGACGAGCTGGAGGAAGTGTGTGTGGATAGGGAAGTCTGGGCGTCTCTGCTTAGACTGCTGCCCCCGCGACCCGGCAACGGATGAAGCGGAAGAAAATGGATGGATGGATGGAAACGTGTGCAAGAAGTTAGCATTGGAATTCTCACAGACCATGGTATAAGTAAGGGATGATTTATATTACTCAGGTCATTATCGGAAATTAAGTACCGACTGAAATCGCCTTGATTTCCACTGGCACAGAAGGGAAGCACACTGTAAAGTGGGTAAGACTAATATTCGATCTCAAAGATCATGCAGCCACGAAGAAGCACAAGTCAAGGTGCCGGTGCTGTAATGGCAATAAACAATATCTTGGCTCTCATTAAACTGGCCTGTAGGGGGCGCATGAGCAGAGGTGGGACAGTGTTGCTCCCATTGAAAACCATGTAAAGTCTGTTTTGGAGTCAAAGGCTCTCCTCCTGTGCGGTGTACGGATGTTGGAACAGTCTTAATCGGGGACACTCAATACTAAGTGAGAACTAACAAATATTTCTCAAAGGTCTTGATTTTGGGCCTTTTGGGGAAAAAAAATAAATAGAAATTGCTGTGTTTCATTGGGGTGGCCTGCAGGGGGCGCTTATCGTCCGCCTCAGTCCAGTGATGTTTTCAAAGTGTCCTCCTTTATATGAGACCACAGTTGGAACATGAACAAACTCTTGCCTTTCTCTCTTTCGCACGGTTGCTACAACCTTACACCGCACAAAAAGGATGGCATTTTGACTGAAGACTGCCAGCTAAGATATTAGAGCTTCTTCTACCTACAGTATAGCTCTGTGTATAAACCCGGCAGACTGCAAAATTCAAAATTCAAATGTAGTAATACAGGTCGCCTGCAGATGGCGCCACAGACGGTTTTAGGCAGAAAGGTGATCTCAACTAATTTGCACCAAAGTCACCATTGGACCCTCATTTATACTGTTTAGCAGCAAAAAGTGGATTTGAGGGTGAGTTGTCCTTTGAGAAAGCTGCAGGTTCTGTCAGCTGAGGCTCAATTGTTTTACTTTACATTCAGAAAAATTTCCCTTACGGTGTAGTCTGCAGTACCGCGGCGCCCCCTGCGCCTGTGGGTGGGATGTACCTATAAACTAGTAATACTTTATCCAGTTATAGATCCATGAGTGACGCCCGTGAACGTGTGTGATCAACATGAAACTTTTCAGGCCGTGAGGAGCCCCTCCCGCAGGATAATGGTTTAGCGCATGCGTTAGCTGCACGAGCGGCTGTACCATTTGTGCATGTGTTAGTTGGATCCAGACTGACACATGGCTGAGAAAATGTCAATTCTAAAGTCCACAGCGGTTAAACTCTGCTGGTCCAACAAAATACCTCCCTCAGCCAAGTTCAACCAGACTAAAGCAGTTAAAGAGGAAAGAGCCATAAGTCAGTGCACGTGTTCATGGCGTCTGACCCGAAACTCACACTTGCTCTAATGAAGGCTTTTACATTTTCTCCCTCTACCGTCCTGTACATAGACTAAAAATTAACGGCCGTAGTCACGCCCATCTCCGCCGTTCTAACTAATGGGCCAAAAAATATGCTCTTCTGGAGCTATCCAAAATAGCCGCGAGTGGTCCCGCCCACAAATATTTGTGAAAAAACGCATCTGTGCATGCGTCAGCCGGCGCAGCTCCATTCATTTGAACGAGAGACTCCAAAAATTCACAGCGAGTAAACTAGAGTGGACCAAAAAAATCCACCCCCCTCAGCATTGACACACATGTGGAACGGAGCTTTGGACCAAGAGCCAACTTTTGGACCATCCTGTAAAGACGTTTTTGAGAGGTCTGCCAATGCTATATGTTAGTGTGGCATGTCGGTGTACACCTTACCCTGAGCTGATTGGTGGGCGTCACCGAGCAGTGCCCATAAAGACACGGGAACGCGCAGCGCGCACGCATATGTCTTTGTTTGGGTGCGTTGGTCACGGCGTTTGGTGACCGGCTGCCTCCTCTGTGGAGCACGCTTGTGGGCTCGGGCGCCACAGTCTGGGTTGTGCGTGTGTGCATGTCCTCCTCCTCGGTAAGTTGCTCATTGTCCATCCTTTATTGGTTGGCCCTGTGCCAAACCTGACCATCAAACACTGTTGCTTCAGACTTCGAGCTGCAGTAGGGACCAGCCAATAATCCACCTGGCTCTCCCCCTCCTCCCGCTGTCCGTGCGCACGAGTCTTGCGTTGGCCGGTAAGATCACAAAGTTTAGTTTAGTTTCCTCCAATCCTTCTAAGACTCGTGTCTCTCCTTTTGCAGGCACGGTTGTCCACGTGCGTTCCCAAGCGGGGGCCGCCGCCCCAGAAAAGAAATCGTTGTTTTGTCCATTCATTGTCCTCATACACAACATTCACCACTGTGCACTGTCCTCACGGTGCCGTGAAAGTCGCACTCTGATTTGCCTACGCACCAGCACTGCTGTGGGGCGTCTTCTGCGAGGCGTTCAGGTGCGCTCCGACTAAACGGCGTTCAACAGAAGTGATTAAATAACCTGGGTGGCGTTGTTGGTACTCCTATCAGTTAGTTTTTTTTGAAAGTCGAAAATCCACTCCGACTGCCACACTTGGCGTTGCTGTTGGCAGGATTGGACATTTAAAACTGAGATATGAACAGTGTTTAAACTTGTTTGTTGAAGTTATACTGTAAATGTGTTTATTGCTTCACTCATACATTTAAAACAATTTTTTGAGTTACATTTGTCTGGACAAAGCAACGGTTTCCCCTTTCAGGAGCGCAAAAGTTCAGGTCAGTGAAATTACTTTTGTTTACAGCTTACCCAAAGGTCGCATTACAGGTGCTCTTGGTCAGAATGGAGGAGGAGATGCAGCAGCTCAGAGAGCAACTGGCTCAGCTAGAGGCGGACAATGAGGGTCTTCGCCAGGAGAGGGCTGCGCCTCAGGCCGGCCCTGCTGGGGCTTTCCATGCTCCCGACGTCTCCTCTGACCAGGCCCGGTCACTGGGCTCTCGTACCCCCTCCACAGAGCGTGTGTTTGTGATGGCACGTGACCGTAAATGCCCCTTGTTTAATGGTAAGTCTGGCCTGTCTTTGAGTGAATGGCTTGAGGAAGCACAGGCATGCATGCGAGCTAGACACCTTTCTACTGTTGAGCAGGCATTCTTCCTCTTTGATCACCTGGAGGGTGAGGCTAAAGTTGAAATAAAATTTCGTCCAGCAGAAGAGCGGGAAAACCCAAAGAGACTTACAGAGATACTTCAGGAGCTCTATGGTTGTGTGCAGCCATATGTGAACCTGCAGCAAGCATTTTTCTCCAGGCGTCAGGAGGAAGGCGAGACTTTACAAGAGTTCTCACTGGCTCTAATGGCTTTAATGGACCAGGTAAAGCAGCGTGCCCCAGACAGAGTGCCCAACTCCAATGTGCTCCTTCGCGACCAATTCACTGAACATGTATTTGATAGCGCTCTACGCAGAGACTTGAAATGGTTTATTCGGAACAATCCGACAGCCACTTTACCCACAAGTAAGGGCAGAGGCCCTCAGGTGGGAGCGGGAGGGACTCCCAGCCCCTTTTAGAGAGCGTAGCTTCTCTCTTCCTTCGGTTCGTGGCCTCCAGTTTGAGGTCAGGGGTTCCACACGCCCCACTCAGGCCTCACCTACTCCAAACCCGGGGCTAAATGAGGTGATGGAACTGCTTAAACGTCAGCAAGATCAACTTAACCAGTTGACTCAAACAGTCGCCTCTTTGAAAGCTCCTCGGCCAAATACACCTCCACGAGCTGCCATTATCTGCCGTAGGTGCGAACAGCCTGGTCACTATGCCAGTGAATGTGATGGTGTGAGAGTTTACCGCCCCTCACGGGCCACTTCAGCCATCAGATCTTCACATGCCAACCATTCGGAAAATTGAAGCCCTCTGAACTGTGGAGCCAACGTTCAGAAGGGGCCTCTACCGGCTCGCAGGTAAATGGATACACAGAATTAATGGCGTCATGCCCAACAGTCACTGTAGATATGGGAGGGGTTCAGGTTGTTAGCTTGGTGGACACAGGTTCTATGGTGTCCACAATAACTGAACGTTTCTTTAGGGAGCATTTCGAACCCTGGGGCCCTGATCGTCTCCACTCCTGCCATTGGTTATGTTATGGCAAGTTGGTTAGCCTCATGGACGCCAACTCACCCCCCGCTGTTCTATTCAATTAACCTGCAGGAAGGAACCGGTCTCCCCCCTGCACCGACAGACATGACGCAAATTACTATCTCACCTTTGCCCCTTTTGCATTTTGCATCTCTATCGGTCCGTATGTCTGCATCTCTATTGACCTTTTACATTCTGCATGTCTATTGTCCCTTCTGTTTGCATCTCCATGGCACAAAGATTGTCTCTCACCAGGCAAGGCGCCTCGCCATCTGGATGCCCGTCTCAAACTGTGACCCCTCCCACCTTTTGTGGGCGTGACTGTCTTTCATGTGTTGTCTATGTAAACGGGGACCTGGGACTGGCCCCGGTAGAACTGATGTACGCTATTTTGTGTATGTGAGTTCTCCGCACGTGTGTTATAATAAACTTACGCTCCTGATTAAGACAAATACCTTTCCAGCTTTTTCCTTACTGTGGATAGAAACTCCCACGACAATTTGGCGTTGCTGGCACGTTCTATGTCTGATTTTTTTTTCCGGCGTGGAGACGATCGTGTGTTGTTTGGCCGACCTGGGATTTACTACAAAAAACCAGCCTCCCAACTCACTTAGCGTTTGACGAGAAGACGGGAGGGACACCGCTCGCCTCGCGCAGGAAAAACTATTCGACTACAGGACCATAAAAGAACCTGATTTGGTGAGTTTTTTATATACGTAACTCTTGTTCTATTGTTTTGATCTGAAAGTTGCGTCCCTCAGCTTTAAGACACTACTTCCTCTTGTGCAGATACAGCTTGGGTTACTCCCGGAGAGCTCAGCTCTTCACAAACTCAGAGATCATGAAGAAGAGGACGGTGATCGGGCCCCACAGAGGAGCAGGAGGAGTCCTGGACCCCAGGAGGAAGGTGTGTCTAACACACACACACACACACATACATACACAGTTCCAGTCTCTGCAGAGGGAGGAGCTCAGAGTAGAGCCGCTGCTTCTCTCTGGGTCTGTGCTGATGGTGTCTCTCTCTCACAGAAGCTGCTCCAGGGGTCCTGCCCCTCGCCTCAGCCCGCTCAGGGAGAGACCACCCAGTGTGCAGACCTGCCCTACCCCTCTCCCCCCCGCAGGACCCTCAGTCCAGACCCACACCACAACCCAGACCCAGACCCGGGCCGCTGGGACGTGGACCAGGTCTACCACTTCATCTGCTCGCTGCCCGGTAACTTTGTTCTCTCTCTGGTCTCTCTCTCCGGTCCCTCGCTGGTCCCTCTCTGGTCCGTCCCTGGTCTCAGACCTCTGGTGTCTGTGCAGGTTGCCTGGACATTGCTGAGGAGTTCCGCTCTCAGGAGATTGATGGTCAGGCTCTGCTGCTGCTGAACGAGGACCATCTGTTGGGAACCATGAACATCAAACTGGGACCAGCACTGAAGCTATACGCCCACATCTGCCTGCTGCGAGACCAGGACTGAGACTAAGACCAGGACCGAGACCAATACGGGGACCGGTAACAGGACAAGGACCATGTGTGTAGCGCTTTAGCCTGGTCGTACCACACCATAGTACAAATTTCATTTCATACTAAGGTCTGGAGGTGCTCCATTGAGCTCCGTGAACAGGTGGGAGGGGTTAACTCCTTTTGCAGATTGAAACGATTGGATCTGAGTTTACATGACGTATGTAATGCGCCAGAGTCTGTTGTTAGCATTAGCATTTAGCCTAGCTTTAGCCATCTCCTTTGCTGCTAACGGAGCCCGTGGGGAGTAGCGCCACAATTTTTTCCAGTGATTACATTTGCTAAAAATTCCTCTTGCTCCTGCTTCAATTTCTCGATAGAACCAGACCGGATTACTTTACTTTACTATCGCATTTTTCGGCATTACCAAACTACGACCTTCACGTTCGACGCAAACTCTTAACATCACCCACAACTATCTACAACACCCGCCTTCCGCGCTCTCTGATTGGACGGTTGAAATTCAACAGATTGTATTCGCTAACACAGGGACCAGACCCAGAGTGTACGGATGGATAAGACCAGGCTAGGCTTATATTGTACTGATAGATTTTTGTAGTCACTGAAATTGACCCAAAAGTCTTTGAAGCTGCACTTAAAGCTGAGGGACCTAACTTTGTCATTATCTGACTCTTAGGGCCGAGAGCTGTGGTCAAAATCACACACATGTGAAAAGAGTTAGGTCCCTCAGCTTTATTCTGAAAGGGCGTAAACATAGATCCCTCTGATGGTGGCTTTGTGCGCTGTCGTCATAGTAACAGAGGCTCCTCCCCGGTCGTGTCATACTCCAAAAATCCACTCCGGTTAAAGACTGTAGTATTTATGTATGAGGCTCTCTCTGGTCACTCTCTTTGCGCTCTCTCTGGTCACTCTCGCTCGGTTCTCTTTCTGGTCTCTCCCTCTCTTTGGTCTCTCTCTCCCCCGGTCTCTTTCTGGTTTCTCTGGACAATGTGAAACGCTTCAGGGTTTTGTTGAATGTCTGTTTTGTTAATTATTCACTGATGAAGAATAAACTAGTTTTATATGTTTGTAACATTTGTCCTGTGTTCGTTGTACAGTCTGGTTCTCTGCAGGCTCCAGTCTGACCGACAGGGGGCGCTGTGACTGGAATGGAAATGTGATACACTTCTTACTGATAAAGCAGAGAATCTTTCAGAGCCGATATCTGCATGAAGCTACAGGGGACTATCAACTTCTCTCTGGTCTCTCTCTCTCTGGTCTCTCTCTCTCTCTGGTCTCTCTCTCTCTGGTCTCTCTCTCTGGTCTCTCTCTCTCTGGTCTCTCTCTCTCTGGTCTCTCTACTTTAATACATTTGTTGCAGGAAGGTTTGAAAGATGTTTCTCAAACATTTTACTCAAAAAAAACAATATATTTTAATTTCATTTATTGAAGATGAATCAAAGTCAAAATATTACAATAAATTAAAACATTTTCCAAAAATCAATATTCAATTTTTTTTTATCATTGTTTTTCAACAACAAAAATTGTAGGTCACCCTCTGGTCTCCTTCTCTGGTCCCTCTCTCTGATCTCTCCCTGGTCTCTCTTTGCGCTCCCTCTGGTCGGTCTCTCTCTCTGTCTCTGGTCTCTCCCTCTCTCTCTCTGGTCTCTCCCTCTCTGGTCTATCCCTCTCTGGTCTCTCCCTCTCTCTCTGGTCTATCCCTCTCTGGTCTCTCCCTCTCTCTCTCTCTGGTCTCTCGCTCTCTCTGGTCTCTCCCTCTCGCCCTCTCTGGTCTCTCCCTCTCGCCCTCTCTGGTCTCTCCCTCTCGCCCTCTCTGGTCTCTCCCTCTCGCCCTCTCTGGTCTCTCCCTCTCGCTTTCTCTGGTCTCTCCCTCTCCCTCTCTGGTCTCTCGCTCTCTGGTCTGGTCTCTCCCTCTCGCTCTCTGGTCTCTCCCTCTCTCTCTCTGGTCTCTCCCTCTCGCTCTCTGGTCTCTGTCTTGTGGGTAAGAAGGAGAGATGGAGTCAGAATCTTTAATTCAAAGTGAGAAACCTCCCAGAGCTGAGGCCACCGTTTCCAGGCCAGTCACATGTTCAGGCAGCCGTCCTCGCTACAGCTGGGCCCCTGGAGTCAGAGGGACAGGTTTAGACAAGACCTCACCGCCAGCAGGTCCCCACCAAGCACCCCACCTCACCGCCAGCAGGTCCCCACCAAGCACCCCACCTCACCGCCAGCAGGTCCCCACCAAGCACCCCACCTCACCGCCAGCAGGTCCCCTCCAAGCACCCCACCTCACCGCCAGCAGGTCCCCTCCAAGCACCCCACCTCACCGCCAGCAGGTCCCCACCAAGCACCCCACCTCACCACCAGCAGGTCCCCACCAAGCACCCGAGAGAAGAGCCTTTGATTCAGGAGAGAGAGAGAAGCTGGTCTGTGCTTTAAATCTAGTTTAATGGTTTTAACTCAGAAAAACAACTTTTTTTTTGGTTCATATAATTGGAACATACAGGCCAGAGAGACAAGAGAGAGTGAGACCAGAGAGACAAGAGAGAGTGAGACCAGAGAGAGTGAGACCAGAGAGACAAGAGAGAGTGAGACCAGAGAGACAAGAGAGAGTGAGACCAGAGAGAGTGAGCCCAGAGAGACAAGAGAGAGTGAGGCCAGAAAGAGTGAGACCAGAGAGACAAGAGAGAGTGAGACCAGAGAGACAAGAGAGAGTGAGACCAGAGAGAGTGAGCCCAGAGAGACAAGAGAGAGTGAGACCAGAGAGAGTGAGACCAGAGAGACAAGAGAGAGTGAGACCAGAGAGACAAGAGAGAGTGAGACCAGAGAGAGTGAGACCAGAGAGAGTGAGACCAGAGAGACAAGAGAGAGTGAGACCAGAGAGACAAGAGAGAGTGAGACCAGAGAGAGTGAGACCAGAGAGACAAGAGAGAGTGAGGCCAGAGAGACAAGAGAGAGTGAGGCCAGAGAGAGTGAGACCAGAGAGACAAGAGAGAGTGAGGCCAGAGAGAGTGAGACCAGAGAGACAAGAGAGAGTGAGACCAGAGAGAGTGAGACCAGAGAGACAAGAGAGAGTGAGACCAGAGAGAGTGAGACCAGAGAGAGAGAGACCAGAGAGAGTGAGACCAGAGAGACAAGAGAGAGTGAGACCAGAGAGAGTGAGACCAGAGAGACAAGAGAGAGTGAGGCCAGAGAGACAAGAGAGAGTGAGGCCAGAGAGAGTGAGACCAGAGAGACAAGAGAGAGTGAGGCCAGAGAGAGTGAGACCAGAGAGACAAGAGAGAGTGAGACCAGAGAGAGTGAGACCAGAGAGACAAGAGAGAGTGAGACCAGAGAGAGTGAGACCAGAGAGACAAGAGAGAGTGAGACCAGAGAGACAAGAGAGAGTGAGACCAGAGAGAGTGAGACCAGAGAGACAAGAGAGAGTGAGACCAGAGAGAGTGAGACCAGAGAGAGAGAGACCAGAGAGAGTGAGACCAGAGAGACAAGAGAGAGTGAGACCAGAGAGACAAGAGAGAGTGAGACCAGAGAGACAAGAGAGAGTGAGACCAGAGAGAGTGAGCCCAGAGAGACAAGAGAGAGTGAGGCCAGAGAGAGTGAGACCAGAGAGACAAGAGAGAGTGAGACCAGAGAGAGTGAGACCAGAGAGACAAGAGAGAGTGAGACCAGAGAGAGTGAGACCAGAGAGAGAGAGACCAGAGAGAGTGAGACCAGAGAGACAAGAGAGAGTGAGACCAGAGAGACAAGAGAGAGTGAGACCAGAGAGAGTGAGACCAGAGAGACAAGAGAGAGTGAGGCCAGAGAGACAAGAGAGAGTGAGGCCAGAGAGAGTGAGACCAGAGAGACAAGAGAGAGTGAGGCCAGAGAGAGTGAGACCAGAGAGACAAGAGAGAGTGAGACCAGAGAGAGTGAGACCAGAGAGACAAGAGAGAGTGAGACCAGAGAGAGTGAGACCAGAGAGAGTGAGACCAGAGAGACAAGAGAGAGTGAGACCAGAGAGAGTGAGACCAGAGAGACAAGAGAGAGTGAGGCCAGAGAGACAAGAGAGAGTGAGGCCAGAGAGAGTGAGACCAGAGAGACAAGAGAGAGTGAGGCCAGAGAGAGTGAGACCAGAGAGACAAGAGAGAGTGAGACCAGAGAGAGTGAGACCAGAGAGACAAGAGAGAGTGAGACCAGAGAGAGTGAGACCAGAGAGACAAGAGAGAGTGAGACCAGAGAGACAAGAGAGAGTGAGACCAGAGAGAGTGAGACCAGAGAGACAAGAGAGAGTGAGACCAGAGAGAGTGAGACCAGAGAGAGAGAGCCCAGAGAGAGTGAGACCAGAGAGACAAGAGAGAGTGAGACCAGAGAGACAAGAGAGAGTGAGACCAGAGAGACAAGAGAGAGTGAGACCAGAGAGAGTGAGACCAGAGAGAGAGACCAGAGAGAGTGAGACCAGAGAGACAAGAGAGAGTGAGACCAGAGAGACAAGAGAGAGTGAGACCAGAGAGACAAGAGAGAGTGAGACCAGAGAGAGTGAGACCAGAGAGACAAGAGAGAGTGAGACCAGAGAGACAAGAGAGAGTGAGACCAGAGAGAGTGAGACCAGAGAGACAAGAGAGAGTGAGACCAGAGAGACAAGAGAGAGTGAGACCAGAGAGACAAGAGAGAGTGAGACCAGAGAGACAAGAGAGAGTGAGACCAGAGAGAGTGAGCCCAGAGAGACAAGAGAGAGTGAGGCCAGAAAGAGTGAGACCAGAGAGACAAGAGAGAGTGAGACCAGAGAGAGTGAGCCCAGAGAGACAAGAGAGAGTGAGGCCAGAGAGACAAGAGAGAGTGAGACCAGAGAGAGTGAGCCCAGAGAGACAAGAGAGAGTGAGGCCAGAGAGAGTGAGACCAGAGAGACAAGAGAGAGTGAGACCAGAGAGAGTGAGACCAGAGAGACAAGAGAGAGTGAGACCAGAGAGAGTGAGACCAGAGAGAGAGAGACCAGAGAGAGTGAGACCAGAGAGACAAGAGAGAGTGAGACCAGAGAGACAAGAGAGAGTGAGACCAGAGAGAGTGAGACCAGAGAGACAAGAGAGAGTGAGGCCAGAGAGACAAGAGAGAGTGAGGCCAGAGAGAGTGAGACCAGAGAGACAAGAGAGAGTGAGGCCAGAGAGAGTGAGACCAGAGAGACAAGAGAGAGTGAGACCAGAGAGAGTGAGACCAGAGAGACAAGAGAGAGTGAGACCAGAGAGAGTGAGACCAGAGAGAGAGAGACCAGAGAGAGTGAGACCAGAGAGACAAGAGAGAGTGAGACCAGAGAGAGTGAGACCAGAGAGACAAGAGAGAGTGAGGCCAGAGAGACAAGAGAGAGTGAGGCCAGAGAGAGTGAGACCAGAGAGACAAGAGAGAGTGAGGCCAGAGAGAGTGAGACCAGAGAGACAAGAGAGAGTGAGACCAGAGAGAGTGAGACCAGAGAGACAAGAGAGAGTGAGACCAGAGAGAGTGAGACCAGAGAGACAAGAGAGAGTGAGACCAGAGAGACAAGAGAGAGTGAGACCAGAGAGAGTGAGACCAGAGAGACAAGAGAGAGTGAGACCAGAGAGAGTGAGACCAGAGAGAGAGAGACCAGAGAGAGTGAGACCAGAGAGACAAGAGAGAGTGAGACCAGAGAGACAAGAGAGAGTGAGACCAGAGAGACAAGAGAGAGTGAGACCAGAGAGAGAGACCAGAGAGAGTGAGACCAGGGAGACAAGAGAGAGTGAGACCAGAGAGACAAGAGAGAGTGAGACCAGAGAGACAAGAGAGAGTGAGACCAGAGAGAGTGAGACCAGAGAGACAAGAGAGAGTGAGACCAGAGAGAGTGAGACCAGAGAGACAAGAGAGAGTGAGGCCAGAGAGAGTGAGACCAGAGAGACAAGAGAGAGTGAGGCCAGAGAGAGTGAGACCAGAGAGACAAGAGAGAGTGAGGCCAGAGAGAGTGAGACCAGAGAGACAAGAGAGAGTGAGACCAGAGAGAGTGAGACCAGAGAGAGAGAGACCAGAGAGAGTGAGACCAGAGAGACAAGAGAGAGTGAGACCAGAGAGACAAGAGAGAGTGAGACCAGAGAGAGAGAGACCAGAGAGAGTGAGACCAGAGAGACAGACCAGAGAGAGAGATACCACAGAGAGGCCAAAGAGAGAAACCCCTCTGTTTAGAGCCCTGTGAGTCACTAACTGCCTCTTTGTGACAGAATCAAATGTATCCCTATATACAGCTCTAATGCTGTGGTTTGAAAGTTACGGACCCGAGCTTTAACACTCAACACAAACACAGACCGAGAGAAAGAGGAAACAGCAGGAACTCTTGTGCTTAGAACAGACACTGCACGATGTCCGAGTGGGTGTGGTCAGACTGTGTCCGAGTGGGTGTGGTCAGACCGTGTCCGAGTGGGTGTGGTCAGACCGTGTCCGAGTGGGTGTGGTCAGACCGTGTCCGAGTGGGTGTGGTCAGACCGTGTCCGAGTGGGTGTGGTCAGACCGTGTCCGAGTGGGTGTGGTCAGACCGTGTCCGAGTGGGTGTGGTCAGACCGTGGCCGAGTGGGTGTGGTCAGACCGTGGCCGAGTGGGTGTGGTCAGACCGTGTCCGAGTGGGTGTGGTCAGACCGTGTCCGAGTGGGTGTGGTCAGACTGGGCACAGATGGAACCAACCGCCAAGAAACAAGATCAAAGAAAAAGCAAGACAAATTTAGGAATAGTTTGTGAGAAGCCAGGTCTCTGTATAGAAAGTGTCCTGGATTTTGAGCCTAAAGGGTTCGCTCTGTTCTGGATCAGGGACCAGCACCAGGACGAGTACCAGAAGCAGTACCAGGCCCAGCACCAGCACCAGGACCAGTCTATACCTTGCTGCGGAACAGCGGCTTGGCGCCCGGGCCGCAGTACTCGTTGTAGATGAGTTTGAAGAGGAAGAGGTGGAAGAGGGTGATGAGGGAGAAGACACTGAACCAGAAGAGGAAGGGCAGGCCGCGCTCCCTGCTGGCCATGTGCTCCTGGTGCGCCACGATGGTCTTGACGTGCAGCGTGTGGCGGAGTTCCTGCAGGTGCCGCAGGTCTGTGGAGATGTAGAGCAGCGGCGTGACGGGCTGTGTCACCATGACAGGGAAGGTGTGACCTCTGACCTCGGCGCTCAGCTCCACCGGCTCGTTCATGCAGCCCGCCTCGCAGGCGAACAGCTGCAGCGGCTTCTCCTGCGGCTTCAGCCACACGTGCAGGAAGGGCTTCCCCTCGGCGTCCAGCCGCACGGCGAGGCTCAGCGCCGCGCTGTGGTAGTGGATCCCACGCAGAGCGTAGCTGTTGTGGAGGACGTCAGGGTCGGCCTGGAACTGCAGGTGGTGCTCCGTGAACTGCAGGCCTCCGAAGCTCAGCACCATGGCCTGCACCACACCATGTGCGCCTGCGCTCACCAGGTCCTTACAGCCGCGTTTCTGCAGCGTGAGCGTCCACAGCGTGGCGAGCTGCAGGATGTGAGCGGCGCCGCTGAGCCTGTCGGGCCACAGCGTGTCTGCGTGCATGGTGGCGTGGCCGCTGAAGCAGTGGTCAGAGAACCTCACGCTGGACTCTAACCGCGAGCGCTCGTCCTGCGGCAGACGCACGTCCAGCAGCGGCGCCGCCGCCGCGCTCAGCACGTAGTAAAGCGTGGAGTTCACTGTGCGGCTGGAGGGCGTGTGTGCGTCCGTGATCACATGCATCTCTACACCTGTGGAGAGAGGGAGGGGTTAGAGAGAGAGGGAGAGAGAGGGAGAGAGGGAGGGGTTAGAGAGAGAGGGAGGGGTTAGAGAGAGAGGGAGGGGTTAGAGAGAGGAAGGGTTAGAGAGAGAGGAAGGGTTAGAGAGAGAGGGAGGGTTAGAGAGAGAGGGAGGGTTAGAGAGAGAGGGAGGGGTTAGAGAGAGAGGGAGGGGTTAGAGAGAGGGAGGGTTAGAGAGAGAGGGAGGGGTTAGAGAGAGAGGGAGGGGTTAGAGAGAGGGAGGGTTAGAGAGAGAGGGAGGGTTAGAGAGAGACGGAGGGGTTAGAGAGACAGGGAGGGGTTAGAGAGAGAGGGAGGGGTTAGAGACAGAGGGAGGGGTTAGAGAGAGAGGGAGGGGTTAGAGAGAGAGGGAGGGGTTAGAGAGAGAGGGAGGGGTTAGAGAGAGAGGGAGGGTTAGAGAGAGAGGAAGGGTTAGAGAGAGAGGAAGGGTTAGAGGGAGGGTTAGAGAGAGAGGGAGGGGTTAGAGAGAGAGGGAGGGTTAGAGAGAGAGGGAGGGTTAGAGAGAGAGGGAGGGGTTAGAGAGAGAGGGAGGGGTTAGAGAGAGAGGGAGGGGTTAGAGAGAGAGGAAGGGTTAGAGAGAGAGGAAGGGTTAGAGAGAGAGGGAGGGGTTAGAGAGAGAGGGAGGGTTAGAGAGAGAGGAAGGGTTAGAGAGAGAGGAAGGGTTAGAGAGAGGGAGGGTTAGAGAGAGGGAGGGTTAGAGAGAGAGGAAGGGTTAGAGAGAGGGAGGGTTAGAGAGAGAGAGGGAGGGTTAGAGAGAGAGGGAGGGTTAGAGAGAGGGAGGGTTAGAGAGAGGGAGGGTTAGAGAGAGGAAGGGTTAGAGAGAGGGAGGGTTAGAGAGAGAGGAAGAGTTAGAGAGAGAGGAAGGGTTAGAGAGAGAGGGAGGGGTTAGAGAGAGAGGAAGGGTTAGAGAGAGAGGAAGGGTTAGAGAGAGAGGAAGAGTTAGAGAGAGAGGAAGGGTTAGAGAGAGAGGAAGGGTTAGAGAGAGAGGAAGGGTTAGAGAGAGGAAGGGTTAGAGAGAGAGGAAGGGTTAGAGAGAGGGGGGGTTAGAGAGGGAGGGTTAGAGAGGGAGGGTTAGAGAGAGGGAGGGTTAGAGAGAGAGGAAGGGTTAGAGAGAGAGGGAGGGGTTAGAGAGAGAGGGAGGGGTTAGAGACAGAGGGAGGGGTTAGAGACAGAGGGAGGGGTTAGAGAGAGAGGGAGGGGTTAGAGAGAGGGAGGGTTAGAGAGAGGGAGGGTTAGAGAGAGGAAGGGTTAGAGAGAGGGAGGGTTAGAGAGAGAGGAAGAGTTAGAGAGAGAGGGAGGGGTTAGAGAGAGAGGGAGGGGTTAGAGAGAGAGGAAGGGTTAGAGAGAGAGGGAGGGGTTAGAGAGAGAGGAAGGGTTAGAGAGAGAGGAAGGGTTAGAGAGAGAGGAAGAGTTAGAGAGAGAGGAAGGGTTAGAGAGAGAGGGAGGGAGGGTTAGAGAGAGAGAGGGTTAGAGAGAGAGGAAGGGTTAGAGAGAGAGGAAGGGTTAGAGAGAGGAAGGGTTAGAGAGAGAGGGAGGGTTAGAGAGAGAGGAGAGAGGGAGGGTTAGAGAGAGGAAGGGTTAGAGAGAGAGGAGGGTTAGAGAGAGAGGAGGGTTAGAGAGAGAGGAGGGTTAGAGAGAGAGGGAGGGTTAGAGAGAGGGAGGGTTAGAGAGAGAGGGAGGGTTAGAGAGAGAGGGAGGGTTAGAGAGAGAGGAGGGTTAGAGAGAGAGGGAGGGTTAGAGAGAGAGGGAGGGTTTAGAGAGAGAGGGAGGGGTTAGAGAGAGAGGGAGGGGTTAGAGAGAGAGGGAGGGGTTAGAGAGAGAGGAGGGTTAGAGAGAGAGGAGGGTTAGAGGGAGAGAGGGAGGGAGAGAGAAGAGAGAGAGGGTAGAGAGAGAGAGAGGAGAGGGAGAGGTAGAGGGAGAGAGGGTTAGAGAGAGAGGAGGGTTAGAGAGAGGGAGGGTTAGAGAGAGAGGAAGGGTTAGAGAGAGAGGAGGGTTAGAGAGAGAGGAAGGGTTAGAGAGAGAGGAGGGTTAGAGAGAGGGGAGGGTTAGAGAGAGGGAGGAAAGGGTTAGAGAGAGGGAAGGGTTAGAGAGAGAGGAAGGGTTAGAGAGAGAGGAGGGTTAGAGAGAGAGGAGGGTTAGAGAGAGAGGAAGGGTTAGAGAGAGAGGGAGGGTTAGAGAGAGAGGGAGGGGTTAGAGAGAGAGGAGGGGTTAGAGAGAGAGGGAGGGGTTAGAGAGAGAGGGAGGGGTTAGAGAGAGGGAGGGGTTAGAGAGAGAGGGAGGGGTTAGAGAGAGAGGGAGGGGTTAGAGAGAGAGGAGGGGTTAGAGAGAGAGGGAGGGGTTAGAGAGAGAGGGAGGGGTTAGAGAGAGAGGAAGGGGTTAGAGAGAGAGGGAGGGGTTAGAGAGAGAGGAGGGGTTAGAGAGAGAGGAAGGGTTAGAGAGGGAGGGTTAGAGAGAGAGGAAGGGGTTAGAGAGAGGGAGGGTTACAGAGAGAGAGGGAGGGTTAGAGAGAGAGGAAGGGTTAGAGAGAGGGAGGGTTAGAGAGAGAGAGGGAGGGTTAGAGAGAGAGGAAGGGTTAGAGAGAGAGGGAGGGTTAGAGAGAGAGGAAGGGTTAGAGAGAGGAAGGGTTAGAGAGAGGGAGGGTTAGAGAGAGAGGAAGGGTTAGAGAGAGAGGAAGGGTTAGAGAGAGGAAGGGTTAGAGAGAGGGAGGGGTTAGAGAGAGAGGAAGGGTTAGAGAGAGAGGGAAGGGTTAGAGAGAGAGGAAGGGTTAGAGAGAGGAAGGGTTAGAGAGAGGGAGGGGTTAGAGAGAGAGGAAGGGGTTAGAGAGAGAGGGAGGGGTTAGAGAGAGAGGGAGGGGTTAGAGAGAGGGAGGGTTAGAGAGAGAGGGAGGGGTTAGAGAGAGGAAGGGTTAGAGAGAGAGGAGAGAGAGAGGAGGGGTTAGAGAGAGAGGGAGGGGTTAGAGAGAGAGGAAGGGGTTAGAGAGAGAGGGAGGGGTTAGAGAGAGAGGGAGGGGTTAGAGAGGGAGGGTTGAGAGAGGTTAGAGAGAGAGGGAGGGGTTAGAGAGAGAGGGAGGGGTTAGAGAGAGAGGGAGGGGTTAGAGAGAGAGGAGAGGGGTTAGAGAGAGAGGAAGGGGTTAGAGAGAGAGGAGGGGTTAGAGAGAGAGGGAGGGGTTAGAGAGAGAGGAGGGGTTAGAGAGAGAGGAGGTTAGAGAGAGGGAGGGTTAGAGAGAGGAAGGGGTTAGAGAGAGGGAGGGTTACAGAGAGAGAGGGAGGGTTAGAGAGAGAGGAAGGGTTAGAGAGAGGAGGGTTAGAGAGAGAGAGGGAGGGTTAGAGAGAGAGGAAGGGTTAGAGAGAGGGGAGGGTTAGAGAGAGAGGAAGGGTTAGAGAGAGGAAGGGTTAGAGAGAGGGAGGGTTAGAGAGAGAGGAAGGGTTAGAGAGAGGAAGGGTTAGAGAGAGGGAGGGGTTAGAGAGAGAGGAAGGGTTAGAGAGAGAGGGAGGGGTTAGAGAGAGAGGAAGGGTTAGAGAGGGAGGGTTAGAGAGAGAGGGAGGGTTAGAGAGAGAGGAAGGGTTAGAGAGAGGGAGGGTTAGAGAGAGAGGGAGGGTTAGAGAGAGAGGAGGGGTTAGAGAGAGGAAGGGTTAGAGAGAGAGGAAGTGTTAGAGAGAGAGGAAGTGTTAGAGAGAGAGGAAGGGTTAGAGAGAGAGGGGGGGGTTAGAGAGAGAGGAAGGGTTAGAGAGAGAGGGAGGGTTAGAGAGAGAGGAAGGGTTAGAGAGAGGGAGGGTTAGAGAGAGAGGGAGAGAGGGGAAAGAACCATGTGTGTATTGTCGGACCTGAGATGAACAGGTCGCTCCAGGCCTGTTGATGGTGTGTGACCAGTTCGTCCACACTGATGTGCATCACTTCCTGGAGCTCCTTCTTGGCGGCCTCTCGCAGCGCGCTCAGAGCCTCGTCAGCGTGCGCTGCCTCCAGTGGCTCGGAGGTGTGCACCACCGTCAGCAGCTGCTCACGCTGCTCAGACTTTGGCGCCACCTGCAGGTGAGAGCCCAGTCTGCGAGAGGCCGCCACCACCAGCAGCACGCGGCTCTGGTCCAGCTGCACGCGGCCCGACCACAGCAGCGCCTCCGTGTCTTTGTCCAGACGCTCCACGCTGCTCAGGAAGTGTGCTCCGCCGCTCTGCGACAGCTCCACGGTCGCTGTGCGCTCTGTGGGGTTGTGGATGTGGAGCCTCTGCACGAACACATGCGGCAGGCTACGGTGGGCCATCAACTCCTCCCTGAGAGAACCATATCACTGTTTATATGGACCAGAGAGAGACCAGAGAGAGAGACCAGAGAGAGACCAGAGAGAGACCAGAGAGAGAGACCAGAGAGAGACCAGAGAGAGACCAGAGAGAGACCAGAGAGAGAGACCAGAGAGAGAGACCAGAGAGAGAGACCAGAGAGAGAGACCAGAGAGAGAGACCAGAGAGAGAGACCAGAGAGAGAGACCAGAGAGAGAGACCAGAGAGAGACCAGAGAGAGACCAGAGAGAGAGACCAGAGAGAGAGACCAGAGAGAGACCAGAGAGAGAGACCAGAGAGAGACCAGAGAGAGAGACCAGAGAGAGAGACCAGAGAGAGACCAGAGAGAGAGACCAGAGAGAGAGACCAGAGAGAGACCAGAGAGAGACCAGAGAGACCAGAGAGAGAGACCAGAGAGAGAGACCAGAGAGAGACCAGAGAGAGACCAGAGAGAGACCAGAGAGAAACCAGAGAGAAACCAGAGAGAGACCAGAGAGAGAGACCAGAGAGAGACCAGAGAGAGACAAGAGAGAGACCAGAGAGAGACCAGAGAGAAACCAGAGAGAGACCAGAGAGAGAGACCAGAGAGAGACCAGAGAGAGAGACCAGAGAGAGAGACCAGAGAGAAACCAGAGAGCGAGACCAGAGAGAGAGACCAGAGAGAAACCAGAGAGAGAGACCAGAGAGAGAGACCAGAGAGAGACCAGAGAGAGAGACCAGAGAGAGACCAGAGAGAGACCAGAGAGAGACCAGAGAGAGAGACCAGAGAGAGAGACCAGAGAGAGACCAGAGAGAGACCAGAGAGAGACCAGAGAGAGAGACCAGAGAGACAGAGAGAGACAGAGAGAGACCAGAGAGAGAGACCAGAGAGAGACCAGAGAGAGACCAGAGAGAGAGACCAGAGAGAGACCAGAGAGAGACCAGAGAGAGAGACCAGAGAGCGACCAGAGAGAGAGACCAGAGAGAGACCAGAGAGAGACCAGAGAGAGACCAGAGAGAGAGACACCAGAGAGAGACCAGAGCGAGAGATCAGAGAGAGACACCAGAGAGAGACACCAGAGAGAGAGACCAGAAAGACCAGAGAGAGAGACCAGAGAGAGACCAGAGAGAGAGATCAGAGAGAGACACCAGAGAGAGACACCAGAGAGAGAGACCAGAAAGACCAGAGAGAGAGACCAGAGAGAGACCAGAGTGAGACCAGAGAGAGACCAGAGAGAGACCAGAGAGAGACCAGAGAGAGCAGGTCACAGCTGGTGCTTACCTCACAGTGACACAGTCCTTGGGGCCCCAGGACACACAGCGCACAGACAGCACGGCCCCCTTCTTGAACCACAGCAGACTGGCCCTGGCCTCCGCCCTCTGCCCCTCCACCCGGACCCCCACCCGCGGAGAGAACAGGGTCTGATGCACCGGGGCCGAGCCGCTCTGAGCCGAGCCAGACACCCACAGCCTGTTGGAGTCCAGGTCCAGCAGCAGGTGGCCGTTCCCTGATGAACACACGCATCAGGGACACACATCAGGGACACGCATCAGGGACACGCATCAGGGACACGCATCAGGGACACGCATCAGGGACACGCATCAGGGACACGCATCAGGGACACGCATCAGGGACACGCATCAGGGACACGCATCAGGGACACGCATCAGGGACACGCATCAGGGACACGCATCAGGGACACGCATCAGGGACAATCATCAGGGACAATCATCAGGGACACGCATCAGGGACACGCATCAGGGACACTAATCAGGGACACTAATCAGGGACACGCATCAGGGACACGCATCAGGGACACGCATCAGGGACACGCATCAGGGACACGCATCAGGGACACGCATCAGGGACACGCATCAGGGACAATCATCAGGGACACGCATCAGGGACACGCATCAGGGACACGCATCAGGGACAATCATCAGGGACACGCATCAGGGACACTAATCAGGGACACGCATCAGGGACACGCATCAGGGACACGCATCAGGGACACGCATCTGGGACAATCATCAGGGACACGCATCAGGGACAATCATCAGGGACACGCATCAGGGACACGCATCAGGGACACTAATCAGGGACACGCATCAGGGACACGCATCAGGGACACGCATCAGGGACACGCATCAGGGACAATCATCAGGGACACGCATCAGGGACACGCATCAGGGACACGCATCAGGGACACGCATCAGGGACAATCATCAGGGACACGCATCAGGGACACTAATCAGGGACACGCATCAGGGACACGCATCAGGGACAATCATCAGGGACACGCATCAGGGACAATCATCAGGGACACGCATCAGGGACACGCATCAGGGACACGCATCAGGGACAATCATCAGGGACACGCATCAGGGACAATCATCAGGGACAATCATCAGGGACACGCATCAGGGACAATCATCAGGGACACGCATCAGGGACAATCATCAGGGACAATCATCAGGGACACGCATCAGGGACACGCATCAGGGACACGCATCAGGGACACGCATCAGGGACACGCATCAGGGACACGCATCAGGGACACGCATCAGGGCCACGCATCAGGGCCACGCATCAGGGACATACATCAGGGACATTCTACTCCGGAAATTAACAGTTTACAGCTGTTGCTTTCGCTCACTCTCTCGTCTCTATAACTCACTCTGCTTTCTCTCTCTCACACTCTGCTCTCTCTCTCTCACACTCTGCTCTCTCTCTCTCACACTCTGCTCTCTCTCTCACACACTCTGCTCTCTCTCTCTCACACTCTGCTCTCTCTCTCTCACACTCTGCTCTCTCTCTCACACACTCTGCTCTCTCTCTCACACACTCTGCTCTCTCTCTCTCACTCACTCTGCTCTCTCTCTCTCACACTCTGCTCTCTCTCTCTCACACTCTGCTCTCTCTCTCTCACACTCTGCTCTCTCTCTCTCACACTCTGCTCTCTCTCTCTCACACTCTGCTCTCTCTCTCACACTCTGCTCTCTCTCTCTCACACTCTGCTCTCTCTCTCTCACACTCTGCTCTCTCTCTCTCACACTCTGCTCTCTCTCTCACACACTCTGCTCTCTCTCTCTCACACTCTGCTCTCTCTCTCTCACACTCTGCTCTCTCTCTCACACACTCTGCTCTCTCTCTCTCACACACACTCTGCGCTCTCTCACACACACTCTGCGCTCTCTCACACACACTCTGCGCTCTCTCACACACACTCTGCTCTCTCTCTCTCTCTCTCACACTCCGCGCTCTCTCTCTCTCACACTCTGCTCTCTCTCTCTCACACACTCTGCTCTCTCTCTCTCACACACTCTGCTCTCTCTCTCTCACACACTCTGCTCTCTCTCTCTCTCACACTCTGCTCTCTCTCTCACACACTCTGCTCTCTCTCTCTCTCACACTCTGCTCTCTCTCTCTCACACACTCTGCTCTCTCTCTCTCACACTCTGCTCTCTCTCTCTCACACTCTGCTCTCTCTCTCACACTCTGCTCTCTCTCTCACACTCTGCTCTCTCTCTCTCACACTCTGCTCTCTCTCTCTCACACTCTGCTCTCTCTCTCTCACACTCTGCTCTCTCTCTCACACACTCTGCTCTCTCTCTCTCTCACACTGCTCTCTCTCTCTCACACTCTGCTCTCTCTCTCTCACACACTCTGCTCTCTCTCTCACACACTGCTCTCTCTCTCTCACACTCTGCTCTCTCTCTCACACTCTGCTCTCTCTCTCTCACACTCTGCTCTCTCTCACACTCTGCTCTCTCTCTCACACTCTGCTCTCTCTCTCACACTCTGCTCTCTCTCTCTCACACCCTGCGCTCTCTCTCTCTCACACTCTGCTCTCTCTCACACTCTGCTCTCTCTCTCACACTCTGCTCTCTCTCTCACACTCTGCTCTCTCTCTCACACTCTGCTCTCTCACACTCTGCTCTCTCTCTCACACTCTGCTCTCTCTCTCACACTCTGCTCTCTCTCTCACACTCTGCTCTCTCTCTCACACTCTGCTCTCTCTCTCACACTCTGCTCTCTCTCTCACACTCTGCTCTCTCTCTCACACTCTGCTCTCTCTCTCACACTCTGCTCTCTCTCTCACACTCTGCTCTCTCTCTCACACTCTGCTCTCTCTCTCACACTCTGCTCTCTCTCTCACACTCTGCTCTCTCTCTCACACTCTGCTCTCCATCACCCTCTAGTTTCTCAAAATGGTCTCTCTCACTCTCTGGACTCTCATATCCTCTGCTCTCTCTCACTCGCCGGTCTCTCTCACCCTCTGGTGCTAAAGCTAAATGCTAATGCTAATGCTTTCTCACCTGTGACAAAGGGAGTATCCAGAGGTTCCTGGGGCGACCTGTAGACCCCCTCCCCTCTCTCCACCACAGACTTCCACCTGTGGACCTCTGACAGGATGCACTGCCCAGGGGCCCCTCCAGGCAGGGCCCCTCGGCTCAGCAGGGGCCATTTGCGATCCCCTCCCAGGTACCAGGAGAAGATGAGGAAGAGGAGGAGGCCGATGAGGAGGCGGCGGGCCCAGCTGCTGGAGAGGAGGCTGGGCAGGCCCTTCAAACGCGGCTGGAGGCCCTTCAGACGCTGCTGCAGCCACATGGTGTCTCTGTGGTCTCTGCTCACAGCTCCTGGAGCTCAGGGGCCCGCATCGGACTGAAGCTGGGGCCAAGCTCCAGGGCTCCTGCGCATAAGGAGGCAGTGTAAGGTAAACATTCTGGGAAACCACAGAGGACAGGAAGAGCTGATCCCCGTTATGATCAAAGTGTGAGCAACCTGAGCTGAGCAGAGAGAGAGCAGAGAGAGAGAGAGCAGAGAGAGAGAGAGAGCAGAGAGAGAGAGAGAGAGAGAGAGCAGAGAGAGAGAGAGAGCAGAGAGAGAGAGCAGAGAGAGAGAGAGCAGAGAGAGAGAGAGCAGAGAGAGAGAGAGAGCAGGGAGAGAGAGAGCAGAGAGAGAGAGAGCAGAGAGAGAGCAGAGAGAGAGAGAGCAGAGAGAGAGAGAGAGCAGAGAGAGAGAGAGAGCAGAGAGAGAGAGAGCAGAGAGAGAGAGAGCAGGGAGAGCAGAGAGCAGAGAGAGCAGAGAGAGAGAGAGCAGAGAGAGCAGAGAGAGAGAGAGCAGGGAGAGAGAGAGCAGAGAGAGAGAGAGCAGAGAGAGAGAGAGCAGGGAGAGCAGAGAGAGAGAGAGAGAGAGCAGAGAGAGAGAGAGAGAGAGAGAGCAGAGAGAGAGCAGAGAGAGAGCAGAGAGAGAGCAGAGAGAGAGAGAGAGAGAGAGAGAGCAGAGAGAGAGAGAGAGAGCAGAGAGAGAGAGAGAGAGCAGAGAGAGAGAGAGCAGAGAGAGAGAGAGAGAGCAGAGAGAGAGAGAGAGAGCAGAGAGAGAGAGAGAGAGCAGAGAGAGAGAGAGAGCAGAGAGAGAGCAGAGGGAGCAGAGAGAGAGAGCAGAGAGAGAGAGAGAGAGAGCAGAGAGAGAGAGAGAGAGAGAGAGAGCAGAGAGAGAGAGCAGAGAGAGAGAGAGCAGAGAGAGAGAGAGCAGAGAGAGAGAGCAGAGAGAGAGAGAGAGAGAGAGCAGAGAGAGAGAGAGAGAGAGAGAGCAGAGAGAGCAGGGAGAGAGAGAGCAGAGAGAGAGCAGAGAGAGAGAGAGCAGAGAGAGCAGAGAGAGAGAACAGAGAGAGCAGAGAGAGAGAACAGAGAGAGAGAACAGAGAGAGAGAGCAGAGAGAGAGAGAGAGAGCAGAGAGAGAGAACAGAGAGAGAGAACAGAGAGAGAGAGCAGAGAGAGAGAGAGCAGAGAGAGAGCAGAGAGAGAGAACAGAGAGAGAGAACAGAGAGAGAGAGCAGAGAGAGAGCAGAGAGAGAGTGAGCAGGGAGAGAGCAGAGAGAGAGAGCAGAGAGAGAGAGAGCAGGGAGAGAGCAGAGAGAGAGAGAGAGCAGAGAGAGAGCAGAGAGAGAGAGAGCAGGGAGAGAGAGAGAGCAGAGAGAGAGAGAGAGAGAGAGAGAGCAGAGAGAGAGCAGAGAGACAAGATAGAGCAGAGAGGGAGAGAAAGCAGGAGAGAGACCAGAGAGAGACCAGAGAGAGAGACCAGAGAGAGAGACCAGAGAGAGACCAGAGAGAGAGACCAGACAGAGACCAGAGAGAGGGACCAGAGAGAGAGACCAGAGAGAGACCAGAGAGAGAGACCAGAGAGAGACCAGAGAGAGGGACCAGAGAGAGGGACCAGAGAGAGAGACCAGAGAGAGAGACCAGAGAGAGACCAGAGAGAGAGAGCAGAGAGAGAGACCAGAGAGAGACCAGAGAGAGAGACCAGAGAGAGAGACCAGAGAGAGAGACCAGAGAGAGAGACCAGAGAGAGACCAGAGAGAGAGAGCAGAGAGAGAGACCAGAGAGAGACCAGAGAGAGACCAGAGAGAGAGACCAGAGAGAGAGACCAGAGAGAGACTAAAGAGAGAGACCAGAGAGAGGTTAGAGATCAGAGTACTTTGTGCTCCTCACATTTTAAAATAACCAGTTACTCCACAAACGGTGACATAGTAAACATAGTTGGAGGGAGCAGCTGTGGAGACACACCTGTACAAAGCACAGAGTTATTTCTGTGGTTAGTTTTAGAGCTCAGCGACAGGTTTACATTCAGATTCAGAGTTGTTTTAGTTTTAATGGAATAAGTTAAACACACAGAAACATGATAAGATGTTCTGACTCAGAGCAGGATGTGTTTATGATGCACCAGGACCAGGACTCACGGGTTAAAGCTGGGGCACGTAACTTTCAAAGCACAACAATAGAACTCTAATACTAATCTGGTCTCTCTCGGACTCTGGTCTCTCTCGGACTCTGGTCTCTCTCTCACTCTGGTCCCTCTCTCACTCTGGTCCCTCTCTCACTCTGGTCCCTCTCTCACTCTGGTCCCTCTCTCACTCTGGTCCCTCTCGGACTCTGGTCTCTCTCTCACTCTGGTCTCTCTCTCACTCTGGTCTCTCTCTCACTCTGGTCTCTCTCACTCTGGTCCCTCTCTCACTCTGGTCCCTCTCTCACTCTGGTCCCTCTCTCACTCTGGTCTCTCTCTCACTCTGGTCCCTCTCTCACTCTGGTCTCTCTCTCACTCTGGTCCCTCTCTCACTCTGGTCCCTCTCTCACTCTGGTCCCTCTCTCACTCTGGTCCCTCTCTCACTCTGGTCCCTCTCTCACTCTGGTCCCTCTCTCACTCTGGTCTCTCTCTCACTCTGGTCTCTCTCACTCTGGTCTCTCTCACTCTGGTCCCTCTCTCACTCTGGTCTCTCTCACTCTGGTCTCTCTCACTCTGGTCTCTCTCTCACTTTGGTCTCTCTCACTCTGGTCTCTCACTCTGGTCTCTCACTCTGGTCTCTCACTCTGGTCTCTCACTCTGGTCTCTCTCACTCTGGTCTCTCTCACTCTGGTCTCTCTCACTCTGGTCTCTCTCACTCTGGTCTCTCTCACTCTGGTCTCTCTCACTCTGGTCTCTCTCACTCTGGTCTCTCTCACTCTGGTCTCTCTCTCACTCTGGTCCCTCTCTCACTCTGGTCCCTCTCTCACTCTGGTCCCTCTCTCACTCTGGTCCCTCTCTCACTCTGGTCCCTCTCTCACTCTGGTCCCTCTCTCACTCTGGTCCCTCTCTCACTCTGGTCCCTCTCTCACTCTGGTCCCTCTCTCACTCTGGTCTCTCTCTCACTCTGGTCTCTCTCTCACTCTGGTCTCTCACTCTGGTCTCTCACTCTGGTCTCTCTCTCACTCTGGTCTCTCTCTCACTCTGGTCTCTCTCTCACTCTGGTCTCTCACTCTGGTCTCTCACTCTGGTCTCTCTCACTCTGGTCTCTCTCACTCTGGTCTCTCACTCTGGTCTCTCTCACTCTGGTCCCTCTCTCACTCTGGTCCCTCTCTCACTCTGGTCTCTCTCACTCTGGTCTCTCTCACTCTGGTCTCTCACTCTGGTCTCTCACTCTGGTCTCTCACTCTGGTCTCTCACTCTGGTCTCTCTCTCACTCTGGTCTCTCTCTCACTCTGGTCTCTCTCTCACTCTGGTCTCTCTCTCACTCTGGTCTCTCACTCTGGTCTCTCTCACTCTGGTCTCTCTCACTCTGGTCTCTCTCACTCTGGTCTCTCACTCTGGTCCCTCTCTCACTCTGGTCTCTCTCACTCTGGTCTATCTCATTCTGGTCTCTCTCACTCTGGTCTCTCTCACTCTGGTCTCTCTCTCACTCTGGTCTCTCTCTCACTCTGGTCTCTCACTCTGGTCTCTCACTCTGGTCTCTCTCACTCTGGTCTCTCTCACTCTGGTCTCTCACTCTGGTCTCTCTCACTCTGGTCCCTCTCTCACTCTGGTCCCTCTCTCACTCTGGTCTCTCTCACTCTGGTCTATCTCATTCTGGTCTCTCTCACTCTGGTCTCTCTCACTCTGGTCTCTCTCTCACTCTGGTCTCTCTCACTCTGGTCTCTCTCACTCTGGTCTCTCTCACTCTGGTCTCTCTCACTCTGGTCTCTCTCACTCTGGTCCCTCTCTCACTCTGGTCTCTCTCACTCTGGTCTATCTCATTCTGGTCTCTCTCACTCTGGTCTCTCTCACTCTGGTCTCTCTCACTCTGGTCTCTCTCACTCTGGTCTCTCTCACTCTGGTCTCTCTCACTCTGGTCTCTCTCACCCTGGTCTCTCTCTGTATAATCATAGTTATAAACATGCCAGATAACAGTCAGTAGATGTATTAAGGCAGTTTATAGACAGCTTCTGCGGGAGGACAGCGGGTCTCTCTCCTGCGGGAGGACAGCGGGTCTCTCTCCTGCGGGAGGACAGCGGGTCTCTCTCCTGCGGGAGGACAGCGGGTCTCTCTCCTGCGGGAGGACAGCGGGTCTCTCTCCTGCGGGAGGACAGCGGGTCTCTCTCCTGCGGGAGGACAGCGGGTCTCTCTCCTGCGGGAGGACAGCGGGTCTCTCTCCCGCCGACACCCACCTTTGCTCCCGGACTTGTCCCACTAGTGTCCTGCGCTGTGCCCTGCTGAAGCTCCGCGGAGATGGGACCCTCTGTGGCGGTCTCTACGGCTCCGAAAGGCCGCTGTTTATGGGGCCTGGCTCTGGGACCGCGGCGTCACCCTGGGGCTTAGACATTCTCTCGCATTTGAACCGGCTCTGTCCTGCATTTGGCCCACTGGCTCCTGTTTCTGTAAATATGAAGCTGATACTTCCTGGTTAGACGACTGCCGTAAGTGGAATTGTCAGCAGCGTAAATATTAACGTCAGTAGCATAAGTATTTACGACACTTGGCACAAATTCGTTTATTTTATTTTTAATTATTACACGATTTGTTTAACAGAAGACCCCAGAAATATTACGTACAATCCAGAAACATATATCAAAATTCCACACGTTGTACAAATAAATATGTTAATTACACAACTCCGTGTGACGCTTGTTTGACGCAGACTGTTTCCTCAGCAGTCTGCGGTGAGCAGTGAGAGGCATATTCTTTCCCCAAATCCTCACTGTAAAGGCTGATTATCTCTCACTGACTGATTTTGTTATAATATGTCGTTACAAAAAAAAACGTTTTATTTTGACACTTCCTGTCTTGAGCGGAAGTTAGCTGACTCGCGCTACAGTTGGAAAAGACGTTACAAACAAACAGCTACGGTCTAAGTTTATGGTTTAAATAGCAAACTGTGATATATTGATAATAGCATGTGTATTATCTGTCTATAAGTGATACCGTAGTTCACCCTTAGAGGGCGCACTCGCTTTGTTGAGAGCTAAGTGCTCAGTGTTGAGAACTATGTTGTAACCTGTGCTTATACGAAGTTGGAGTTAACGGGCAAGTTCATCAGAGATGTTTTTGTCGTTATTACTGGCCACGATGCAACATCTTTTTGGCGACGAGGATGAACACTTTTGAAAAGTAAGGATTTTGGAATTTTGGGCAAAAGTGGAGGCAAGAAAAGGGGAGAGGAGAAGGCGAAAGCAACTGAAACGAAACGTAATGGCGACCATTGGCACTCTGGCGGCGTTTGATGCTAAAAGTCAAAGCTGGGAAGAATACTGTGAGATAATGGAGCAGTTTTTTGAGGCCAACAAAATTGATGACGGAGATAAGCAAAGAGCTATCCTCCTCAGCGTGGTCGGCGCATCTACGTACAGTTTAATGCGTAACCTCCTCAGCCCGGAGAAACCGAAAGAGAAAACTTACCAACAACTCGTGGTGCTGCTGAAAAACCACTTTGACCCGAAACCAAGTGAAATCGTGCAAAGGTACAAGTTTGATTCCCGTAGTCGTAACACAAATGAGAGTGTAATGGATTACGTGGCCGAGCTGCGGAGGCTGGCGCAGGATTGTAATTATGGGAATACGTTACAGCAGAAGTTAAGAGACAGGCTCGTGTGTGGAATAAACTACGACCGGATTCAAAGGAGACTTCTGGCAGAAACAGATTTAACGTGTGAGAAAGCAATGTCGATTGCAGTTGCTGCAGAAACAGCAAATAAAAATGCACATGATCTCCAGAATCCCAGCGCAGCAGCAAAGTGTTGATGAACAAAGGTCTCTATGAAGGAGTGTTACCGATGCAAAGGACAACATGATGCTTCTGAATGTAAGTTTAAACAAGAAAAATGTCATGCATGTGGAAAAGTGGGGCATATTGTGCGAGCGTGTCGTAATAAGAGCAGAGACGTCGGAACTATTTTCGGAGAGGGGGGGCGGGTTTTTATTTTTAGTTGAGTCGGGGAGAGACAGAAATGTAGTAGACAACATATTATCTTAATGGTTAAGAATAATGAAAAAATATAAATTAAGTAAGGCACTTTTCAAACTGGAAATAATTTATTTCAAAGCTGCATAACAAACACGTGCGCACTGAAAGACAAACACAAGGCTCCAAATAAAAATCAAGCGCGTCAAAAAAGGTGGCTGTGTCATTTTTATAAGCTGCAACACCGGAACAATTTAAAGTAAATTGCACAACACTGACATGGAACAGTTTGCAATCATATGAGGACTTTCAGATTTTTCCAAAAGTGGACCTTCTCTCAGTAGACCGACTGATGAATTGTTCAAGCAGAGAAGAAACATGGCATTCATCTAAGAGGTCACTATGCGCATTCATAATGGCCAAATGTGTCAGTCTCTCCTGCTTCATTGTGTTGCGTGGCCAGGTCTTCAATCTGCGCAAGGCTGAGAAAGAGCGCTCAGAGGCTGCGACAGATATGGGCAGGGCCTGACAGAGCTTCAAAAGCTTCTCCACCTCCGACAGCATGGAGCGGGTTTGGGGCTGCAAGGTGCGCACATAGTTTCTCTCGTGAAAAAGGGGTCAGATCCGGGGAACCCACATTAACTTGTTTCCCCTGGGCTGCCTCAAGAATGGCCTGCTCTCGCCCTCCTGATCAAAACGCCGCTCCACCTCTGAGCGCACCAAGTCCAAGGCCTCAAACATCTCCCTCTTCCACAGGCTTGGATAATCTGCAATATTAAACATAATATCAATCAATCAATCAAAGTTTATTTGTAGAGCGCCTTTCATACACAGGGCAACACAAAGCGCTTCACAGTCCACATCACAAATCATCACATAAAACAAACACCAGAATCACAATTAAAACATTAAAATCACACAAAAGATTAAAACACAATTAAAACATTAAAATCACACAAAAGAATAAAACCATTAAAACTTTCAAAATTTCACAAGAAATTTAAAAAAATAAATAAATGACAGCAGTGCATTAGAAATGGAGATAAAATCCTTCAGTTGTATGCACAGGCAAACAGAACAGTCTTTAACCTGGATTTGAACATTGACAGAGTAGACGCCTCCCTCACATTTTCAGGGAGATTGTTCCAGATCTTAGCTGCATGGATCTGAAACGCAGCCTCCCCATGTTTGGTTCTCACTCTGGGCACCAGCAGGAGGCCAGTCCCTGTGCTCCTCAGAGTCCGGGCCGGTTCATATGACACCAACATGTCACTAATGTATTCTGGTGCAAGGCCATGGAGAGACTTGTACACAAGCAGAGCCGTTTTAAAATCTATTCTTTGAGCCACAGGAAGCCAGTGCAGAGACCTGAGGACCGGACTAATATGGTCATACTTCCTGGTTCCTGTCAGGACTCTAGCTGCTGCATTTTGGATGTACTGCAGCTGCTTACAGGTCTGTTTGGACAGACCTGTAAGCAGGCCATTGCAGTAGTCTAGCCTGCTGGAGACAAATGCATGGACAAGAATCTCCAAGTCTGCCCTGGACACTATATTTCTAACTTTGGCAATGTTCTTCAGATGGTAAAAAGCTGTTGATGTTATTGATTTTATGTGGCTATTGAAATTTAGGTCTGAGTCCAGTATTACCCCCAAATTTCTGACCTTGTCTGAAGGAAGTAGGGAGAGAGACTGAAGTTGACAAATGACGCCCTCTCTTTGTTTCTGGGGACCAAAGACAATGATTTCGGTTTTGTCTGCATTTAGCTGGAGGAAATTATTTTGCATCCAGTCACTGATCTGTTGGATACAGTGAAGGAGCAAATCCAGTGGTCCATGTTCTCCTGCAGTCAGTGAGACATAGATCTGAGTGTCGTCGGCGTAATTGTGGTAGGACACTTTGTTTCTTTGTATTAACTGACCTAACGGCAGCATGTAGAGATTAAATAGGAGAGGTCCCAGGATCGACCCCTGTGGTACTCCACAGGTCAGGGCCACATGATCTGAGACGCAGTCTCCAATCTCCACAAAGTACTTCCTATCCTCCAGGTAAGACCTAAACCAGTCTAGGGCTGTGCCAGTGACACCAACCCAGTCCTCCAGTCTCTGCATGAGGATCTCATGGTCGACAGTGTCGAACGCGGCACTAAGATCTAACATGACCAAAACTGTGACTTTACCTGCATCAGTGTGAAGTCGAATGTCGTTTGTTACCTTCACTAGAGCGGTCTCAGTGCTGTGGTGGGGTCTAAACCCAGACTGGAACATATCAAAAGAATTATTCATTGTTAAAAATTCAGTAAGTTGTTGGGAGGCCACTTTTTCAAGAATTTTTCCAATGAATGGCAGATTCGATATGGGGCGATAATTTTGAAGTCCCGCAGGATCCAGACTGCTCTTTTTTAGGAGAGGTCTTATGACTGCTGTTTTTAGGGCCATAGGAAATGTTCCTGACGACAGAGACATGTTTACTATTTGTGTCAGTGAAGGTAACAAACTGCTCAGGACGGACTTCAGAAATTTAGAGGGCAATATATCCAGGCTACATGTGGAGGAGCTCAGACTCATGATTATCTCTTTGACAGTTTCAGTATCCACAGGTGCAAAGTGAGTTAGCTCAAAAAGCTTCTCTGGCTGTTGCATTGTTATACGTGCTGTGGAGGTGATAGTGTTTTTGATTCCTTGTACTTTGTCATCGAAAAACTGTGCGAACTCATTACACCTAGATTTAGAGGAAAATTCTAGGGGCAACTTTACAGGGGGGTTCGTTAATCTACCAACTGTTGAAAACATAACACGAAAATTGTTACTGCAACCTCCAATAATGTCAGAAAAATACATTTCTCTTGTTCTACGTAGAACCCGGTTAAATTCACCCAACTCATCTTTAAAGATTTCATAATCGCCCTGGAAATTGGACTTTCGCCACTTCCGTTCGGCCCTCCGGCACTCTTGCTTCTGTGCCCTGACCGAGTCTGCCTTAGTCCATGGGGCCTTTTTCTTACTGGTAACTATTTTAACCGTCACAGGAGCAATGGCGTCCAGAACAGTCAGAACACTGGTGGTGACAGAGTTATACAATTCATCAACAGTAGAGCATGGAGTTTTCTCAAAATTTAGCATTCCCATGAACAGTTCACTTGTGTTTTCATGTATGTGTCTTCTTCTAACAATTGTAAATTCAGCTGGTGGTTTGCTAGCAAAACACATGTCAAAAAATACACAGAAATGATCTGACAAAGCAACATCAACTACATTAACATTTGATACATTAACCCCCTTTGTAATTAGCAGGTCAAGAGTGTGCCCCCTGCTGTGGGTGGGGCCACTCACGTGCTGAATGAAACCAAAGGTCTCAAATACAGAAGCCAGCTCCTTTGCATTTCTGTCATCAACATTATCAACATGTACATTAAAATCACCTGTAATAACTAAACTATCAAAATCTGTGCACACGAATGAAAGTAGTTCAGTAAAATGGTCAATAAAATCGCAACATGACTGTGGTGGCCTGTACAGGACAATGAAAAGAGTAGAAGATTGCTTTTGTTCCATTTTAAAAGAAATATACTCAAACGATGAAAAATTTCCAAGGGGCATTCTATGGGAGACAAAGTGCTCTCTAAAAACTGCAGCTATGCCTCCCCCCCTTTTGTTTTCTCGTATTTCGGATTCGAATTTAAAATTGGGTGGTGTTGCTTCTATTAGAACTGCATTTCCTGTATTTTGGTCCAGCCATGTTTCAGCCATAAGCATAAAATCAAGATCATAAGAAGTGATAAAATTATTAATTAAAAATGATTTGTTACATAGAGATCTGACATTAAGCATAGCAAGTTTAAAAATAACGTCAGAGTCGATTAATGTGGTTGATTGATTTCTACAGGGAACAGAAATTAGATTTGCAGAGTTGGACCGTCTAACTGCTGTCCTGTTTTGATTTCGTTTTTTAGAATTTAAAAACATTTTTGAGCTGGTGCGAGGAACACACACAGTCTCAATTGGCCTAAAATGTGAAAACCCTTGTTGTTCTTTAGCTCCCAGAGTCAGAAGGGAGTCAGCACAGTTCAGTGTTTGGACTGGTAATGCACTGCCAGACGGACAGGGAGCAGTGTTTGCACCGTTGTACTCACCCGGTGCTGGTGAGCAGGAGGCGGGGGAGTGCGGTGGGGTCCGAGGGGGCTCAGATGTAAACAGTCACGCCCCCCTCGGGGAACGCTGAACAACATGACGCATGTAATCCATCAACAGGCTGCTACCGTATCTGTTTGGGTGTAATCCGTCTGGACGATAGGCTTCGTAACGTTTCCAGAAAAGGGCAAAGTTATTCACAAAGACAAAGTTAAAAGAGCTGCATGTAGCCTGGAGCCACATATGCAGCGCCACAACACGACTGTAGAGGCAGTCACCTCTGTTTACAGTCGGGATTGGACCAGAAATAAAAACAGATAGTCCGGAGGATTGAAGGAGGTGGAACAGATCCATAAAATGTTTCTTCGTGACTTCTGACTGCTGAAGTTTCATGTCGTTAATTCCCACATGCACGACTACCTTGGAAACG